ATCATCTTATAGACCCCTCGGCTTGGTCGAGGGTCTGAAGGACACCTTTGGAGCTGATTCAGCCGTACTAGTCTTCGCTTCCGACGCTGCTAGAGCACAGAATGCTAGCTCAGGTGACTCGTTATAGAGACGTGGCTAACATGAGGAGGGAATCCACAACCTATTGGAAATTGACACTCACGTGTGTGTATAGTTCAGTCGGAAGTGATGAGTCTTCATCACCACTAGTGTCATTGCCACGACCTCGCACCTGAGTACCACAGTAAAGTAGGAGGTCCCGGGTTCGAATCCCAGGGCCGGCATAAACTCACCCCAGATAGGTCCTTCATTAGTGGTTGTATGTTCTTATTAGACACGTAAAGGGACTCATCACCGCCGCAATCTTCTTTCAATGATCGTTCAGCATTGATACGTGTTCCAGCCAACCTAACAATATCACCACATCCATCAATGTGGAAAAAGCGCGCGCCCAGACGATCGATTTATTTACTTCTCCCGTTTTTCTCTCCATACCGCGTGGAGATCCTTCAACAACTGCGAGTTAGGATTCAGCAGCGACTGTACTTCCGCCCAGGAAGTTACCTGATAGACATTATCATTCTATGTTGGATTAGAAATATATGTTCGCTTTCCTCAGCTGAGCTCAGGAATTTCCTATACAGTGTTGGAGTAGGAATATATGTAATCGCTTTCCTCAGCTGAGCTCAAGAGTTTCCTATACAGTGTTGGAGTAGGAATATATGTTCGCTATCCTCAACTGAGCTCAGGAGTTCCCTCACTCCCTATAGAAGTGAACATACGAATTCGGCTGGAAGTATACAGAAATCAATAAGAAATTCCAAAAATTTTATCCCATAATGTTCATATTCTCACCAACACATGTAGTTGACCATATGCATATTCCCCCCACACTGTTCTCTGATCCTTCCCCTTCGATCTGCCTACCTGCCATATCTCAGGAGTTGATGGATCCGCAGGATGTGAGAGCAGGAAATCACGGAAGTCATCACAGGCCTGATAAAGTGCTTGTAACTAAAGGCTTTCTCCATAATCCTACTTTCAACGCCGCTTCGCTTTCCCCCGGTATAAAGTTCTCCGCAATAGTGTACACTGGGCTACGACTAGGAACCTGATAACGAGCAAACCAAATCCATGCATAGTGAAGTTTCATCCGCGATATGAAAAACACTAGTGAAAAACATATTTCACGACTACTGCATATCACCGCGAATATCGGCTTTTTCACCGAGTTTTACGCCACTTCACGTAAAACGGGTCGTGAAACTCCAATGTAATATCACAACACTATAAACTGGTAGTAACTCACCAACGTATTAGTAACCCTTAGACGCTGAAACATACGGTTAAGCCAGTTTAGATAGAATAGATACGTGTCCAGATGAGAGCCGCTATGAATCCACATACCTAACAAAAACGCCAACTACCACCATCAATATCATCAACAACAAGAACAGCATCGTATTCGTACAGGAGCCTCCCGGCTTGAGGAAGTCGAGCATGAGCAGGAACTGATTCCTGCATACTTCCACTGATTTCCTTGCAGTAACATAAGGATCGTCATCTCTGTTACACTGCCCCACATCAATCACAACTCCTGACAACACCATGAACACAGTAAAGTTCAAATTTCGATCTGTGCTGTTGGAGTAGGAATATATGTTTGCTTTCCTCAGCAGCTGAGCTCAGAAGTTTCCAAAGCTAACTATACATTAATGCAACACAATGGGGGTTCACCCGTAATATGAAATACACTAGTAAAAACATATTTCACGATTCACTCAACGCGGAAAACAATTATGTTGTCGCTCGCGGTCTACACACACACTATAGTTTATATCGAGTATTACGCCACTTAACGTTAAACAAATGAAACTCCACCCCCTAACCGAGCAAATTTTCTGAGCAGTTCAGCTTGAGTCAATAAAAACATTGGAGTTTCACCCTAGTGATATGAAAAACACTATTGAAAATTATATTTCACGACTACTATATAGCACGAATATAATCGCGTTTTTTCACATAAAACGTTGATTTTTTTGAAATTTTCCCA